TGTCACAATTCTCAGTTCTATCAGTTCTAGCACAAATTCTCCCACCCAAATCCCCTCTCCCAGTACAAACACCCCCATACACAAATCTTCTTCCCCTTTCTATTAAAAATCCATACATTCCAACTGTCCCGGATTTAGTGGGATCTTCCTGATATTTGAACAAAGTCATGGCATCTCGTGAATCTGGCTGCATCCTGTAGCCCAATGCTGGAACAAATTCTGCCACTTGGTTCCACAAACCCACTCGGCAGGGGCACGCTAGCACAGGCACCCTTGGCACATGCCACACCTATCTCAATCGCCCCCTCTATGGCAGTGGACATATCTTTGATTTGAAGGGGGTAAGAGCATATGTGATGGGAGGGACTTTTTGAGGGGAGAGGACTTGAGCTAGAAGGTTAGGCTGGGGAGTCAGATATTAAATCCAATAACCCCCTTCTAGCAGCCAATAGATGAGTCCATTTTTTATTTTGTTTTTTTAAACAGTAGGTTGAACATAAAAAACTAACTGGATTACCCAATCACACATATTTAGCGGATGGGGGAATCCTCCCACTGAGCTATTGTATGCTGATAGCAGGGACTCTTCCCTGTCATCAAATTACACTGATCAATGTTGCATAGCCGGGGAGGAGACTTCCATCGTTTTTGAAGTGAGTTGTACATGAAAGGTTGTATGGGGAATGATGGTGGCTGCCATAGAGGGGGTGTGTGGAACACCAGCCACCCCACAAGAGATGCAGGGCACGTGCCCTGGGTGCTCACACTTGCAAGTCCCTGCCAGGTGAGTTAGTGGTGCCACTTTCCAGAACTTGTTCCAGCACTGGGATTTGGGATTTAGCTGGACAGTTGGGAAAGAGGCTAGAGGAAATCAACAGCACCGAGATGCAAAAATTAATTAAAATAGTATTTATGTATTATTGAACAAAATATTTTGTTTGTTTATGATACACAGTGCTTTAGAAAACTAAATATCATCCAGCTAGGGTTTACATCTATAATAATGTTTCACAGTTTCAAATGTTTTTATTTATTTACAGCTAATAAAAATTGTACATAATTGAGAAATTCAGTTTTGCCAACACATAGCTCTTTCAATTCATCAATAAGTAACTAGATCAATTAATAAAATGTATACTAGTCAGGAAGTGCCTGTTAGGGCTCAGTTTTAGGAATTACGCATATCCACCCAATGACATATAATTATCTCATGGGCTCACAGTACACTCTAGTGGCTAAACTTCAAATAACTCTCCAATCATCAGAAGATATTTATTTTTTTCTTCATGTTATTAAGGAAAACAAGGTAAATATTTGTAACATATTACAACTATCAGTAATCACAAAGCCCAAAATGGTCAAAATAGAGATTTTGACATTCACTGGTTGACATACACTGATTAAAAAGCCTGCCCTGCCCGATTTTTATTCAAATCCGCAAACGGGCCGGTTTAGCGGATGACATATTGCCGAGCGTTAAAAATAATATATATTAAATAAATGGTGGTGCACGCGCTAAATACTAGACCGCAAACAGTTTATACACACATAATATAGGAGGCTTCAAAGCCTCCATGTCCATGATATCACTCTAACGCGACGGTGAACATCAATGTGCTGTAAATACAAAAGTTCAATGTAATAGTGCGCCTGCACACAAGATCATGAACGAGAGGGTGATCCAATTCAAGTGGTGAGTGGATCCCAATTCAAGGTGATGGACATCCTGATCCAAGGTGTGATGGTAGGTGTGATCACACAAATAGGTGAAAAACGCACTCACCAGATGTGCGTTTAATATACGCAATATGCAATCCTGCGTCACCAAGCCATAAAACGATCATCAGATCCCAGATCAGATTGTACCCAGATCACCATCCCGGTTCCACAGAAGTGAGGTCATCTGAAACCGCTACCAGGTATCACCACCAGGGTCCTGAGTCCTCCAGATGGGCACTGCGAATGATAGCACTCACACAGAGTGCCCAATAAGAGACCTCATAGCGTGATACTGCTTTAGATGCTTTTATTCAGGGTTGGTTGGTGTGGGGTACATAAAAAGATTAACCAAAAAGTTTACTGACCATATGCATTCCTAGGTAGTTAGGTGTCCTGCTGCTGCTGCCCCCCTGTTATTGCAAAATAAAGTGCATGCTTCACCATCATTTGCAAAAGTAAATACACCTTATGAAAGCCACAACTTTTACACATAATTGAACAGGCATACCGAAAAAAAAATCTTCCTTTTCAATATTTTTTTTTTTTTTTCAAAAAATATCAAAAGATTTAATGGTGTAATGTGGAAAAGGTAAGTGCATCCTTGGCCTCAGATGCTGAACACTTGTTTTAGCAGAATTGCTTCTTGAAGGCATTTTTCTTTATTGCCCACCAGTCTCTAACATGTGCAACTCAATGCAAAAATGCTGTCAGTTTGAAGATGTTTGTGGGTTTCCTTGCATGAACTGCCCGTTTAAAATCCCCCAAGATACCTGCCACCTGCATGAATAACTAAGGGGTACATGGTAAATAACTAAGGGGGGTAAATAACTAAGGGGTACATGGTACCCCTGCATGCTGGAATGAGGGTCTCGTATGGATTTTGGATTGATATAATTTGGTGGCATTTTAATTGGTATTTTTTCTTTGTATTTATCACTTTTGCCTTAGTGCACTGTACAGATATATCACCTTGCATGCATGTTTAACCTCCTGCTGATTACATGACGCATATGTGTGGCAAAAGCGAGTGGGATTTATGGCCCATGCGTCTCACTTATTCATCCATGAGGGCCAAGGTTTCTGTGCTGAAAGCACATGCACTGATCTCTCCCTGCAAAGCTCTCAAAGGCAGCTTCAGGTCTTTATTGATGATTGGGGAGCAGGAAGAACAGGCTCACAATCATGAATATATAATGGATTGGTGCTGCGCTACTCTGTGCATAAATGAATATTAAATAGACATAGAAATGAATATATAAATAAATATATAAGTAGATAAACCCACACCCAAGTGTAGAGATAAAAAACTGCTGAAAAATAGGTGCAAAATTGTGACCAAAACAAATCAACAAATAATATAAAACATCCCCATAACACAAGTGTAATCAAATAGACAGTGATAAACAAGTGTGTAAGTGAGCAAAAATATACTGTATATAATAAACTAGATGATAGCAAAATGTGACACGACATATATGCATCCCAAACTGAATAGGGTGTAAAGTCCCAAAAAAAAAGAGCACAGTGAATCTTCAGGACAAGCTGTGAACCATCCCGTGATCACTGAAATCAATCAATCCTCCACCAGCTAGCACGCGCTCACCTTCAAGCTGCGACCCGCATGGGGTCATAGGGCATAAAATGCATTCAATCGATGATCTCACGGTGTATTGCCCTAGTTAGTGATCAAAGAACTCCTCTATGGTGAAAATGGTGAACATCCACAGGGGTAACTCAGATGTCCAGGAGCCATACTACTCTAACTCCAATATCCCCACATGGAAGATTTAAACAAAAAGACTTCTCATAGTGCAGTAAGTCAAAAAATAATTTATTGTTAAAAAACAAACAAATGACTGCTCACATTTTAAAACGGGGCGCACAGACCCATACAGGCAAGAGAAACTGCAACAAACTGCAGAAAAGGTGTATTAATTGGGAGTACCAAGATGGCGGCTGCCGCCTGTACCGGAAATGACATCACCATGCTTTTCATCCTACTCATTGTGTCACGAGTCACGTGACTTCCTCAGGGCTCCTTTTTTTTTTTTAGGCTCACAATCATGTGACCACTGTGACAGCCAATCACAGTGAATACATGATCGGGAAGTTTGTATGGCCTCCTGGCCTTAAGGCCCATTTGAAAAGTGAACAAGAGAGCTGGTAAGGATCAAGGTATCCCCCAAGCATGTTAGTTAAAGGAATTATGTAATTTTATTGTTGCCCTTGCAGGCTTATTAAAAGAGCTGCTCCTCACTGAATAGTATTTTTGTTTTTTTGGTATTGGTACATGATCCAAATATGGCTTTGTCTATAAACAGAATGAAGCTGGCCTGGAAATGTCATTGTCAGTGGCAAATGTTTGGGGATTTTTCTTTCCAAATGCCCCTTTTGCTTTAGTACACCCTACTGTTGTTCCACTTCACAGGCATGTTGAAGGCATCACCCAAACATGTTATTTAAAGTGTTACTAAACCCACAACAGTGAAATCAGTCTGTATATGCAGTAAAGCATGCTTGTTATACTCAATGTGGAACCTAAGGGGTTAATCCTCTGCATTGTGTAAAAAAAGGCAATTTGATTCTTTCTTCTCCACCCCTCCTCTTGTTCAAATGTCCATGCTGATAAGACAGACTGAACCCGTAGCCCCTCTGCACATGCTCAGTTTAGTGTGTACTGCTAGAGAGGTTTTTTTTCTTGGGAGAGTGCATATGATCAGCACAGGGCCAATCAGCACTGTCCAGACAGAGGTCAGGGGTTTTGCATCCTCCTACAAGCTTTAACCAGTGCTCTGCTGAACACACTGATAGAAGTCACAAAGACTGCTGTAACTGCTGATGAGAAAATGTATTTATCAGTTTATATTTACTAAAATAATTGCATTTCCATGTTGTGTGTACTGTGGGAGACCAGATATAGTGAATGCAGGGTCCTGGGTTTAGTAACACTTTTAAGGGAATTTTGCATTTTCAATGTTTTAAAACTTGTTAAATATTCTATTTGCATTTCCGGATTCAACCCATGCTCTCATTGGCTCCCGTAGGTGACAATCACCAGGTCACGGCCAGCGATTCATGGCCGAGACTTGGTGATCGGCGGAGCAGCTGACAGGAGAGAGATCAGTGAGTGTAAATGTAGTTCCCTCCAGGTTAGCTAGATAATGTCAGGGCTCCCAGGTGTGACCAGAGGTGTGTGGCTGAAACGCAGACTTCAGATATGTGATAAACAATGTGTAATTTATTTAACACTAACAATACAACCATTAAACGCAGTTGCAATACTAAAACATTAATACAGTGCAAACCAACCACCCACAGATACAGTACAAACAAGCAAGCGTCGTCAGGCAGGCCGGGTCAATATCAATAGGGCAGGTATGGTACAGGGGGAGGCAAGCGGAAGATGGTCGGGGTCACAGGCCAGGTTCAGCAGGTAGCAAGCAGCGTAGTACAGAGGGGTCAGGCAGAGGGATGGTCAGGGTCACAAGCAGGGATCAGAAACAGGTAGCAAGCAGCGTGGTACAGAGGGTCAGGCAGAGGGATGGTCAGGGTCACAAGCCAGGGATCAGAACAGGGTCAGCAGAGAATCAGACAGGAACAGAGAGCAGGAACAGGATACAGGATGCAGGACAGATACAGGGCCCAGGACAAACACAACACCAAGGCAGAGTCTGCAAGTCTGGCCATCCCTTAAATACACCAGTATCATCAGTTCCAGGTGTTAGCTGGCTGAAAGGTTGAGTCTCTGATTGCTGGGAGCACCCGCTGACCAGCCCTGGTACTGCAGATCAAAAGGCAGGTGAGTCCCACCATTGCTGGCCAGTCCATTCCTGACAGATAAGCTGTTTTTTTTCTTCTTTTAGACAGTGGCCTGAGTAGCAGCCTGGGATGAGTCAGTCTGTGAGTGAGGCAGGGGTTCACCTCAGAACAAGCTAGGAGGCTGTATCAGGTCATAGCTTCTGGAGCCCTCTCACCTCTCCAGAAACCTTAGAGCTTTTTGGAGGAGGGTGGAGGAGGGCATAAGGCCCAGATCTACATGTTTGAGGGACCCTGGCCAATCCCTGGCAGGAAGCTGGCCATGGTGACCAGGTCAACCTCTATTGTGGCAGAGTCAGGGGGGCAGGGGCAGTGTTGGGTGGAAGATAGAGTGAGGAAGGCTGGAAGGGAGAGAGATCCTACCAGTGTGAGTACTCTTACAGCCCTTGAGCCATATAAGGGGAGAGGACAGTCAGGTGCAAGACCCAACTAGCTTCTCATCTGGAACTGCTTATGCTAAATTGGCAGCTTCTGAGCCCCTTGCCCAAGGAGTACCCTCAGTGCAGCCGGTGAAAAGGAGTAATCATCTCTTAGATTGTAAGCTTCCTAACCCTCTGGTATTGAACTGTATTGTTGCTGTATTGTCTCCCGTTATATTGTAAAGCGCTGAGCAAACTGTTGGCGCTATATAAATCATCCTGTATAATAATAATCATCCGGGGGTCTGAGGAGGTAAACTAGGAAGAGTCTTTGGGGCTCTTCAAGGAAAGAGACTTGCTAATCACAATTTTGTTCATAGTTTTCACAATTTAGTACATTGTACATACCCAGGCAGCATCCCATATACCTCTAGACCCCATCCAAGTTCTAAACCCTTAATAAAATCACAAAACCAAGCTCAAGGACTGTTTTCTTGGACTCCAGTGTACAAAGTGTGAAAAAATGCGTGTTGCCTGGCTGTGCAGAGCATAAGGGGGAACCAAAACTTCAGTGGCTCCCAAGGGGGTAGTGCTACATGTGGGGGCTCATCCAGGATTTCCCTATAGCAACCTACACAGCAACTGGCAACCAACGAGCCAGAAGATTGGGATGATTTAAAGTGTCATGGAGCCGAGCGGAAAGTGGAGTGTGCTGTACTGCTGGGATTGTGACTGTTGCTGTGTCTTGCAAGTGCTGTTGCTAATGATGTCACCCCCAGGCAACCATGCTGGGCCTATCCGAAAGTCTTCCTGCTGCTCAATAGGTGGCTAATACAAAAGACTATGTTCGCTATTTGCCTGCTCACAACAGTAAAGTCTATATTGCTTACTTTATTCATTGTCACCTATAGCAACCATGGCGAGCTATGGTACCCATGTGGATTACAAATACAAGTCCTAACTTCTCATCTGGGGCTGCTTATGCTAAATTGGCAACTTCTGGGCCCCCTTGCCCAGGGAATACCCTCAATGCAGCTGGGTGAAGTGGGGAAATCATCCGGGGTCTGAGGACATACTCTAGGAAGAGTCTTTGGTGCTCTTCAGGGAAAGAGACTGTTGCTAATCACAATTGTGTACATAGTTGCTAAGGAATTTTTCCTCAAGTTCAGCAGTATCTTGGGCATCCCATATTCCCCTAGATCCCATCCATGTTCTAAACCCCTATATAAAATTTAAAAAACAAGCTTAAGGACGCTCTTTGACTCCACTGTGCAAAGTGTGAAAAACATGCATGTTGCTTGGCTGTGCAGAGCTTAAGGGGGACCCAAAACTCAGCAACTCGGAAGGGGGCAGTGCTATATAAACAACACAGATCTCTCTCCTGTCAGCTGGATGTGCTGGTTTTTATCTCTCTGCAAAGGAGGGAGATAAAAGTCAGCATGTCCCCTAGTAAAAACACAACACAGTACACAGTCAAATCACTCCCTGTCATTAGTACAGTGTCACAGTGCTTTTTATTAGCATTGATCACTGTATTAGTGTCACTGGAGATGTCAGTGGCAGTTAGTCAGTCTTCACCCAATGTTAGTTAGTGTCATATAGTGTTAGTTAGTGCTGTACTATTGCAGTCCTGCTATAAGTCGCTGATTGCTGCCATTACTAGTTTAAAAAAAAATTCCAGTATATATACCGCCATTTGTAGACTCTATATCTTTCACATAAGCAAATCAATATACATTACTGGGATTTTTCTTACGAAAAGACATGTAGCAGAATACAGTTTGTACTAATTTTATAAAGTCATTTTATTTTTTATTTTTTTTTTATTGGATATGTTTTATTGCAAAAAGTAAAAAATATAGTTTTTTTTTTTAATTTTTGGTATTTTTTCATTTATAGCACAAAAAATAAATTAAAAACCCCAGTGATGATCAAATACCACCAAAAGATAACTATTTGTGTGAAAAAAATGATATAAATTTCATTTGTGTACAGTGTTGCATGACCGTACAATTGTCAGTTAAAATAGCGCAGCGCTGTGTAACAAAACATGGCCTGGTCCTGAAGGGAGGGTAAATCTTCCAGAGGGCAAGTGGATATTTCATGGCTAGAGAAATATTTTCCCATAAGGAAGTATATATATTTTATACCTGTTATAGGAGCAAACAAATGCTGCAGCTTAGGTCAGCAGCAGTAAACCATTTAATTATTTGATGTCATAAAAACCTACATACAAATACAACAGCATACAGATACAATACCATGGGATGGAGACCTGGTGGTGAAAGGGTTATTCCAGGTGGCATTCTTCTATGTTGTTAGAACAGGTAAAGTGAGCCTCCTGTGATTCAGGTGCAGATCAGTAATCGCCTACAGCAAAAACATTTACTTCTCATCAGCCTCTTAGTAAAACTAATTAGCAGTTCCATCCTAATTGCTTGTTTAACATGTTTGTCAGCCATATTTTTTATCCTGGGGCTAGATTCATGTTTGGCCATATTAAAACCCAGTGCACAGACACATTTGTTTGTCTGTAGTATGTAAAAGATCTGATATAACCCACTTAACGTTACTCTGGAAGAAAGTATATTTCACCAAAGATAGTCACAGGTCATATCACTGGGCATAGGCAGGGCTAGATTAAGGCCACTTGGTGCCCTATCCACAGCCCTACAAAAGGTGCCCCCTCAGCCCTTTAATTGAATAACTGACAAGACTGAAAAAGTGCTAAAGATAAATAGAGATAAGAGATTGTATATATTTTGGGCCGGACTCCACAGATTATTGAATAAAAAACTTAATTTTAATTAAATTTATTTAACACCAAATAGCAGTACACAATATAAGCAAATTATTTTGTACTACTAGGCAAAAGACTTGTAACCTGGACTGTAGCTGATAACTGCTGCGGAATGTTTTCCTTTGTTGCTGCTGTATTATCCTGTGGACAGGGTTGAGATGAATATTCATTAATTCAGAAGTGTAGTATCCATTCTTAACCTCCCTGGCGGTAATCCCGAGTGTGGCTCGGGTTTAATTTTCAGTACCAAAAATGGTAACCCCGAGCAACACTCAGTTACTGTAGTGTAACTTACCTTGTCCCTGAGATCCCCCGATGTCCTCCCACTGTGTCCTCCGGCCAATGCCGGCATCCGTCTTCCTTTCCCTGTGAGGGCCACGATGCAGGGGGTCAGAACTTGCGGGAGATTCAAAAAAGTAAACAAAACATGACATACACACAATACATTATAATCTGTTAGGATTACATTACTGTATCAAACCATTTCACCTCAGTTTTGTCCCTAGTGCTTTGTCCAGTGCTCTGCCTGCACTTTTACCATTCTTTCTGCCTGGAAACTTGAGAACGTCCATGGCATCCAAAAAGCGTCTCTTTAGGTCAAAAGTTGTTTTTGGTTTGATTACATTATTGAATTTAATTTATTATTATATTATTATTTTTTATAATTATTTATTATAGTATAATTTATGATTTTGTGTTTCAAACTTTATCTTACCCGGGATGTTTACTAGACTCTTGTTTGAACAGATTTGAGGTACTCCTAAGAATTACAGACCTACAATAGAAAACAACAAATTTCCAAGCAAAACAATGGTCCGCTTTGACATTCAAAAATATTGACATAATCAGACCGCCAGGAAAGTTAAGAAGACCAAAAGGGCAGCCATCTTGGTTGGGTATGATTCAGTCTTAGAGGTGATTGGCTGATACAACAGAGCAAGGAGAGGTGGGTCTGAAGGCTGGTGAGAAAAAGGGAGAGGATTGCCTTAAAGCTAGCAGGGGTTTGGGAAAAATATTGAGCTGCTGCTGGCTGAATGTATCCCATTCATAGCTGACCACAATCGGGTGAGAAAGCAGAGAAGAAAAGAGACTGAGAACCTGCTTCCTGGGACTATGTGGGGTATTATTTGAATGCCTGGTGAGATCAGACTGTTCAGAGAGCACGCCTATGGCTTGTGAGGAAGGAAAGGAGGGACTGTCTCAGTAGGATTGAAAGAGAGAAATCACAGTAATTCCTATCCATCTCTGAGGACTTGAACTGAACCAGAGCACAAGTCCAGAAACCCAGATGAGGGCTTCCTGGGTCTGGTAAGAGACTAACATTCCACAAGTTAATCTGTTGTCTGCTGAGAAGACAACAAGGGCTTTCTTCAAGGGCCCCAACTTTGCCAGCCTAAGGCTCTTATTTTTTCTGTCAATCACTGGCCAGTAGGATACATCTTGGACTGTTATAGCAAGTTAGGACTGTCTTTATATACTCTTGCTTGGTAAACGCAGTTCAGTTCTGTTAATTACTGTTAGGCAGAATACTACAAGTATTTAACCATATCTCTCAGAGTAATGTTGTCTTACTGATTGTCTGTTTAAATACACTTGACAATCCTTTCTTCTTTTAGGCTGTGCTTGGCCTAATATATTCTTTGAAATACCTCAAGGTGTGTCAGTGACTGCTAGGTGAGCAAGGTGTGTCTTCTTCAGGTATACAGAGAAATCACAAAACTATTCAGCAGCTCCTCTGGGGTAGCACTACAAACTTTTTATTCATAAAAGAAAAAAAATGTTACAATCAAACAGTTTACAAAAATCTATTGAATTTTTTTTCTTTTTGCAGAGTAAACACAAGTGACAATTACTAAACAATTTTTTTAAAGTTGTGTGTGGTATTGAAAGCGCTAATGGCAACTTGGTTAGGAGGGAAAATGTGGTGTTCCCCTTGTCTTGACACCTTAAACAAGTACTT